AGTGGGGGTGGTTATGTGTGTGGAGTCGGCTGCAACTCAGAGGGACCCAGTCTAGTGTTTCCGAGGCTGTAACTCTTTACGGGAGCAGAAAGTCTCATCTTTCTCCCACGGAACGGCTGGCAATTTCGAAATGCTGACCTTGAAGTTAGCAGCCCGACTTGTAACCTATGCTACCAACTACTAAAATTTGATGGTGCTTTCAAGATGTTCAAAGAGGAATGGTTTCATTAGCAGTTAGATAAATGAATCTAGATTGCACGAAACACAAAGTGGGAAGTGGTCAATAGTATGACAACAGCTGAAACCAGGTACATGGAGATGGACACCAAAGCTTTCAGAGGGAGGCAGGAGAGCATCAAGTCAGATGGAAAACAGGACCTCTGAAAGAAACTGAGAAAGAACTGACAGAAAAGGAAAAGAGAGTGGTGGCTGGGAGACAAAGTCAGGAGGCAACAGTAGCTAATATTCAATGCTGCAGAGATGAGATAAAATAAAGACCATAGGAGAGGTTGGCTTTAAAAATAAGACTCAAGGCTAATGGGATGTGAGGAAATGGAAACTGGGAGAAAAGAGAACTCTTTTAAAAATTCTAAAAGAAATTTGGAGGTGAAAAGATAAACAGAGGAGAATATACGGCTGAAAGAAGTTATCTGTAAGATTAAAGATGATCTGAAACTGCTTATAAATAAGGCAGAGGAGAGAGAGCCAGTGTAAAAGAAGATAAAGGTATAAAAGGAGAACCGATAGCTGACTGGGTGTGGCCTCAGAGAGAGCAGGAGGGGCTAATACCCTGGAGCCTGAATCAGAAGTAGGCCTGTGCTTCTGCCACTTTACTGATATGTGAATCACTGGGCTTTAACAAAGGCGTTCTTTGGTACCATGGAACAAGCACTGAACTGCTAGCTTGCAAAGCTGACAGTTCAAACCCATCAGCACTCTGTAGGAGAAAACTAAGGCTGTCTGCTGCATAAAGATGTAGTCTCAGAAACCCTATGTAGGGTCACTGTGAGTTGGAAAAAACTCAAAAGCTGTGGGTTGGGGGTTCAGTTGATGCAGACTTTGATTCAGTGGATCTGCATTGGAGCCTGAGATTGTGTGTTTTTCACATGCTCTTAGGTGCTGTCCATACTTCCTGTCCACAGGCTACTTCCACTATGAGTAGTAAGGATGTTGTTGTTTAGTGCTGTCGAGTCAGTTCTGACTCACAGCAACCCTGTATAGAGTTTCCAAGGAGCAGCTAGTGAGTTTCAACCACTGACCTTGTGGTCCAGTGCTTACCCTACAGCGCCACAACAGGACTCCAGTAAGTGTGTGTTGTTTGTTGTTAGGTGCCATCGAGTATGTACTAACTCATAGTGACCCTATGCACAACAGAAGGAAACACTGCCTGGTCCTGGGCCAACATCACAATCATTCCTACGCCTGAGCCCATCGCTGCTGCCACTGTGCCAATCCATCTCATTGGGGGTCTTCCTCTTTTTCTCTGACCTTCTCCAGTGACTGGTCCCTCCTGATAATATGTCCAAAGTATGAGAGATGAAGTTTGGCCATTGAGGCTTCCAAGGAGGACTCTGGCTATACTTCTTCCAACACAGATTGGTTTGTTCTTTTGGCAGGCCATGGTACTTTTAATATTCTTCTCCAACACCATAGCTCAAAGGAATCATTTCTTCTAGTCTTTCTTATTCACTGTCCAACTTTCACATGCATATGACATAACTGAAAATACCTTAGCCCTCAACTGACACCTTTGCTCTTCAACACTTTAAAGAGGTCTTGTGAAGCAGATTTGCCAACACTGTTTGATTTCTTGACTGTTGCTTCCCTGAGTGTTGATGGTTGATCCGAGCAATGAAGTCTTTGACAACTTCAATCCTTTCTCCATTTATATGGATGTTGTTTATTGGTCCAGTGGGAAGGTGTTTTCTTTTCTTTACATTGTGGTACAACCCAAAGGCTGTGGTCTTGGATCTTCATCAATATGTATTTTTAAGTTCTCTTCACTTTCAGCAAGCCAGGTTGTATCATCTGCATATCGCGGGTTAATGAGTCTTCGTCCAATCCTGATGCCACATTTTGCTCCATACAATCCAGCTTCTCGGATCATTTGCTCAACATACAGACTGAGTAAGGATGGTTAAAGAATACAACCCTGGTGCACACCTTTTCTAATTTTAAACCATTCAGTGTCCCCTGGTTCTGTTTGAACAACTGCCTCTTGGTCTACATACAGGTTCCTCATGAGCATAAGTAAGTGTTCTGGGATAATCATACTTCACAATGTTGTCCATACAATTGAAAGCCTTTTTTTTTTATCACAGGAAGAATAGCTAGAGATAGGTTTGGTAGTAAAGGGGAGAGGCACTATGGGACTTTTCGCTGCATGCATTCTGAAGCTATCTGGCAGCAGATGGGAGAAAAAGAAAATCGAGCCCTCAGTGGATGTTACTAAGTATACAGGTATGTTCCTGTAGGAGTGCAGGCAAAGGTAGTGACAGTGGTGGTGGGTGTGTACCATCCAGTTGGTGGTGGGTGTGTACCATCCAGTTGGTTTTGACTCATTGTGGCCCTGGCGAGTTTCTGAGGTTGTAAATCTTTAAGGGAGGAGAAAGTCGCATCTTTCTTCCACAGAGCAGCTAGTGGATTTGAACTGCTGAACTTGTAGTTAGCAGTCCAACATATAACCACTATGCCATCACAGCTCCGTAAGGTAATGACTGTTGTTGTTAATAAGTGCTGCAGAGTTAGTTCTGACCCATAGTGACCATGTATAGGGTTTCTGAATAGCAGCTGGTGAGTTTGAACCACTGATCTTGCAGTTCAAATTCACCTTATGGTACAGTGCTTATCCTACAATGCCAGAACTATTTATTGAAAGACAGATCAGGCAACAACCGAAGTAGGGCTGAGTTGGGTGAGGGGAAGAGGGAAGACTTAGACTCATCATACCTTGGGAGTGACTATGAGTGAGTAGGACCATAGGGATGAAGGAGGAGAGACTTCAGAGGGCCTGACGTGTTAGGTGACAGAACTAATGTGAACTCAACTGAAACCAGAGTTGAACAAAAGTGTAATAATAATACATTTCATGGGTACAGTGAGTCCCCAGGTCATGAACATCTAACTCACTAACAACCTGTACTTGTCTTTTAAGATTATGTAAATTTGCCCTCACTTTAAAATGATTCAGCCAACCATTACTCGCAGCAAATTCTTCATTACAATCATCTTCATTTGCTTCAAATGCAGTTTTTAAATCACTGAAAAGGCTTTAAGCCTTTTCTGCACCAAACTCACTGCCATCAACTCGATTCCGACCCACAGCCACCCTGCAGAGTTCACCAGCGCTGGACTGTAGGCGTCGGCTCTGATCAACCTACAAGCCTGACTCAGAGACCCAGAACAGATTTTGTTTATAACCTGAGGACTGCCTGTGTTGTTTCAAAATGACTTGTCACCGTCCAGGTAGTCTTCAGATAAGAAGAAAATCACAGAAAGTTCCTAGGGGAAAACTTTCTTTCAGCAACAATTTTATAGACTGTAGACTGTGACCTCCAAGTTCACAGAGGTTAATTAATAAGAGTCACTAAGAGTCAAAATGGACAACTCTGTCCTATTGTTGTTACATGCACTCCAGTCCATTCCAACTCATAGCAACACTGTGTAGGGTTTCTGAGAAGCCACTGGATCTTGAACCACCAATCTTGCGGTCCTGCGCATTAACCCACAGCGCCACTGTCCTATAGCTACTTTAAACAACAATATTTAAATACTGTTGAACTATTAATGTACCCACAGGGTACATTACATACTGCTTATCTCCCAGAAGAAGTATGTCATTTCCTATTTTGAACATGTACTGACTGTGTAATAAAAAAATACCATTGCCAGGTTTTGAGGAAGCATTTCTTTTCATTTACAATTTTTTTTTTTAATGGTGACATATGGTAGCGTAGTGGTTACGAATCGGGCTGTGAACCGCAAGGTCAGCGGTTCCCCGGGAGAACGATGAGGCTATCTGCTCCTGTAAAGATTTACAGCCTCAGAAACCCTGTTCACGGTCGCTATGGGTCGGGACCGACTCGACGGCACTTAACAACAACAACAATATGGTAACAAAAAAAAAAGTCAACCATTAGTAAGTGCAGAAGCCACATACCAGGATTGGCATTAACAGCAGTCCCATGTGTGCGTCATCACTATCCATGTCTACGGTTTTCATCACCCTTAACAATAACCCTATCACTCAAGTACAGCACCCCCAGATTGTCTCTTCCCACATGCCCAAGGAAACCACTAATGGATTTGTATATTTGTTCTTTTGAGTTTGACTGGTTCATTCAGCCTGTTTTCAAGGTTCACAAGCATCAGAACTTCATTTCTCTTATCGTTGAATGGTGTTACACTGCTTGTTTGTTATACGCTCCATATTTTATTTAACCATTCATCTGGTGGTGATGGACACTTGGCACATTTCTACCTTTTGGCAATCAACAATGCTACAGTGAACATTGCTGTAAAGTATCTGTTTTTGAGTCCCTGTTTTCGATTCCTTTGGGTATGTACCTAAAACTGGAATTGCTGTGTCCTAGGTAGAGTTCTATGTTTATCTTTTTAGCATACTGTCAAACTGTTTTCTATATTGGCTGCACCATTTTACAATCCCACCAGAAGTGGATGAAGATTCCCATTTCTCCATGTCCTAGGAGGTGGCATTTCTTAATTTTAATGCTTACTTCACACCTTACTTTAAAAACGTCTCTAGAGTTGCTGAGGTTAGTTTTTAAAAAATGAAAACAACCCTGTTTAAACAATTCCAAACTGACAGGGTGGTGCAATTTCCAATTAATTTAATCACTTAGGAGCTGTGTGTCAATACATCCAGCAGGCTGAACATAGCTCTCCATTTGCTAATACAACATTTACTAATGTGGAGACATGGAAGCAAAATGTCTTCTAAGCTACTGGAAGGTCAGAGAGTGTCAGGTCTACATTCTTACCCCTTCGCTGGTTTTCTGCAAGTCGGAGCTCGGGTTTCTCGTGTCAGTGCCGGCATCTCCGCCCTCAGAGCTGCTTTTGTTGTCTTCGTCTTTGCAGTCCTTGTCATCTTCATCGCCTGGAGATTTTCGGGACTGTTTAGAGGATTTCTAAATGTTTAGACAAATTAAGAATTATAGTCAATAGAATAAATGCAAATGCACATGTGTTAGTAATAGGTGCAGAAGGAGCTGATCTGCATCTAGTCTTTGTGACTTTTACACAGTTTCTATAGGTACAGCAAAGCTGTTATATGATCCTGGGCAAATCACTTCACTTCAGTTGTTGTTGTTGTTGTTAAGTACCGTGGTGTCGGTTCCGACTCAGTGACCTTGCACAGGGTTTCCGAGGCTGTAAATCTTTACAGGAGCAGAAAGTCTCATCTTTCTCCCGTGGAACAGCTGGTAGTTTCGAACTGCTGACCTTGAGGTTAGCAGCCTGATTTGTAACCACTACGCTATCACTTCAGTAAACCTTAGTTAAGTGCTGGAAAGCAGGTAAAGGTAACCTAGAAAACTTCTTAGTTCTTTCTCGCAATATGTCACTGAGGACAGAAAAGAAAGATTCCTGTTGCCAGAATACTGCCAATGAAAAACTATAACTGGAGAGATTAACTCCTTCGGAAGGCAATTTGTCCATAAGGGAACCAAAACGGGATTTGGGAATCACCATAAAGGTCTTCCCTTGTCATTTTATAGTAGTGGTAATTGAAGTGCAGAGAAGTGAAGCAAACTCTCCGAGATCATAGAAGGATATTCACGCAGAGACATCACTAGAAGCTGTTTGGTCAGTGGTATATATGGAATCATCTTGGCAAAACTTTCTATCACTGTGTAATGTAAAGTAACTTTAATCTTTCTAATTATGGAGAGGTATTTCAGAACCGTTTGTTTTAGCATCTGTAGCACAGCGATGGTAAAGCAAATGGAAGAAATGAGGAAATAAGAGAGGTGAACAGAAAATTTCACAGGGCAATTCGAGAAGACAAAGTCAAGTATTATAATGAAATATGCAAAGACTTTAAGTTAGAAAACTAAAAGGGAAGAACACGCTTAGCATTTCTGAAGCTGAAAGACTGCCTTGACTTGTAACATTGAAGAGTTCTATGAGCAAAATATGGAATGATGCAGGAAGCATCAAAAGAAGATGAAAGGAATGCACAATCACTCTGCCAAAAAGAAATGGTCAATGTTCAACCATTTCAAGGGTTGGCCTATGATCAAGAGCCAACGGTACTTAAGAAAGAAGTCTAAGGTGCACTGAAGGCATTGGCAAAGAGCAAGGTTTTGGGAATTTATAAAATACAAATTGAAAGCTTTCAATAAACTGATGCAGCACTGGATGCGCTCACACATCTATGCCAAGAAATATGGAAGACAGCTACCTGGCCAATTGATTGGAAGAGATCCATTATCTGTGACTATTCCAAAGAGAGGTGACCCAACGGAATGTGGAAATCACCTAACAATATCATTCGTATCACCTGCAGATAAAATTTTGCTGAAGATGATTCAAAAACAGTTGCAACAGTACATTGAGACAGGGAAATGCCAGAGGTGCAAGCTGGATTCAGAGGAGGACCTGCTGATGTCAGATGGAACTTGGCTGAAAGTAGATTACACCAGAAAGAAGTCTACCTGTGATTTACTGACTATGTAAAGGTTTTCAACTGTGTGGATGACGTCAAGCTATGGACAACATTGTGGAGAATGGGTATTCTGGAACACTTACTTGTGCTCATGAGGAATCAATCTGTACATAGACCAAGGGGCAATCATTCAAACAACAAGGGGATATTGAATGGTTTAAAATCAGGAAATGTGTTTGTATGCCAGGGCTATATTCTTTCACCATACTCATTGAATCTTATGGTGAGCAAATAATATGAGAAGCTTTATTACATGAAGAACATGGCATCGAGATTGGAGGGAGACTCATTAACAACCCGCATTATGCAGGCGATACAGCTTTGCTTGCAGAAAGCGAAGAGAACTTTAAGTACTTATTGATGAAGATCAAAAACCACAGCCTTCAGCATGGGATGCACCTCAATGTGAAGAAAACAAAAGTCCTCACCACTGGACCAATAAATACATCATGATAAATGGAGAAAAGACTGAAGTTGTCAAAGACTTCATTTTGCTTGGATCTGCTATTGGAAGCAGCAGTCAAGAGATCAAATGATTTATTGAATTAGGAAAGTACGCTTCACAAGACTTCCTTAAAGTGTTGAAGAGCAAAGACGTCTGTTTGAGGACTAAGGTGCACTTGACCCAAGCCATGGAATTTTTGCTAGCTTCATATGCATGTGAAAGTTGGACAGTGAATAAAGAAGACTGTAGAAGAAGTGATACATTTTAGATATGGTGTTGTTGTTGTCAAGTGCCATCGAGTCGGAACCGACTCATAGCGACCCCATGTACAGCAGAACGAAACTATGTCCGATCCTGGGCCAACCTCACTACCGCTGCCACACTTGATGCCATCTGGCTGATCCATCTCGTTAGGGGTCTTCCTCTTTTTCTCTGACCCTCCACCTTACCCAGCATGACATCCTTCTCCAGCGACTGTTTCCTCTGGACAATATGTCCAAAGTATGAGAGACAAAGCTTAGCCATCTTGGCCTCCAAGGAGCACTCTGGCTGCACTTCTTCCAAAACAGATCTATTGGTTCTTTTGGCAGTCCATGGCACTTTCAGTATTCTCCTCCAACACCACAACTCAAAGGCATCAATTCTTCTACGATCTTCCTTATTCACTGTCCAGCTTTCGCATCCATATGAGGCTACTGAAAACACCATGGCCTGGGTCAAGCGCACCTTAGTCCTCAAGCTGTCATCTCTGCTCTTCAATACTTTAAAAAGTTCCTGTGCAGCAGATTTGCCCAATGCAATACGTCGTCTGATCTCTTGACTGCTGCTTCCGTGAGTGTTGATAGTTGATCCAAGAAGAATGAAGTCCTTGGTGTTAGAGAAGAATATTAAAAGTACCATGGACTGCCAGAAGAACAAACCAATCTGTGTTGAAAGGAGTACTGTCAGAGTGTTCCTTAGAGGCCAGCATGACCCAACTTTGTCTCTTATACTTCAGACATATTATCTAGAGTGACCAGTCACTGGAGAAGGATATCACATTTGGTAAAGTAGAGAGTAAGAAAAAAGAGGAAGACCCTCAACGAGATGGGTTGGTACAGTGGCAGCAGCAATAGGCTCAAAATAACAAGACTGTGAGGTTGGCGCAGGACCAGGCAGTGTTTTGTTCTGTTGTGCACAGGGTCGCTATGAGTCTGAACTGACTCAATGGCACCTAACCACAACAATAATTTAGAAACCCAAAATGACAATGGTTTTCCTGACATCTTCTATTTGAAAGCGAAGGTGAACTCTAGAGAATAATACAATTACAGTTTACAGGGAAAGTTGCTTATTTAGTACCATAGCATTACAATAATAAAAAGCTGGCCTGAACGCTATACCTTTAAGAAAATAAAATGTAGCCTTTTGCTAACATTTCTTCTTTGAGGAATTTAAAATATCTTCAAGAACATAGCAAATAAGAGCTAAGGCTCAACTGATTTAGTCAAGTCAGTTTTGCTGTTACAGAAATGAATTCACAAACAACCTTGTTCTGTCCTATTTTTTTAAATGTAGCTTCTTCCAAAAGAAAATATCTTCACGCTATGTAATGGAATAGATAATCATACTGCTTCGATTTTACTTAACTGAAACTACCCATCAGCCAATATCAAATGAGATTATTTTTACTTTTTCTATAAAAGGAAAGCAGGGATTTAATAACCCCAAAGTGAAGTGTCCGTAGTTAGATCAGAGCAAGTATGACAGAATAAAATGCTTAAGAATTCTTGTTCTCCTGCTAAATACAGTGATGTCATAGTGTGGCACTGTAGATTAAGCACTGGACTGTGTCAGTGGTTCAAACCCACTAGCTGCTCCTTGGAAACCCTATATAGGATTGCTAAGAGTCATAACTGACTCGACAATATTTAACAACAACAACTAAATACAGTATAATTTTTGTTGGCAGTTCAAACCCACCAGCTGATCCGCGGACCCCTAGACAGGGTCGTTATGAGTCAGAACTGACTCAAGAGCTCACAACATCATCAGTCTAAGGGAGGAGTCCTGTGTGGTGCTGTTATTAATATCCTTACTATTGTTATTTTCACTTGACTATCAGGACTCTTGGTGTACAGTGCTATTGAACAATGCACTGGAGCACAAGGTCACTTGGAACAACAAGGTCGGCATTTCCTCGGAAACCCTACACAAGGACATTAGGAATCGGAACTCACTCACCAGCACTTAACAACAATAACAACAAGGCTACTAGGAGTGTGGTGGCTCCATAAGATAAGCACTGGACTGCAAATTACAAGGAATGTGGTTACAACCCGCCATTCGCTCTGCAGAAAGAAAAGAAGAGGTTTTCTACTCTTACAAAGATTTGAAGCCTCGGAAACCCTATACAGGGTCCCTGAGTGGGAACAGACTCCACGGCACTTAACAACAACAACAAGGAGTGTGTGTGTGTGTGGCGGGGGGAACCATACCTTGTATCTACTGAAACATGAAATCTAGGGGTGAGCTCAGCAATTTGTGAGTTAACAAGTCTTCCAGGTAATTCTGGTGTGGTGCTGTAACCACAAGGTTGGTGGTTCAAACCCACCAGTTGCTCCTCAAAAACCTTATGCAGAATCGATATGAGTCAGAACCGACTCGAAGGCACCTAACAAGAACAATCACCAGGTAATTCCGGTACAGGATAAAGTGTGAGAACCACTGCACTGCACACAGTTCATAGTAAAACTAAGTCATGGCTCTTAAGTGGTTTTCAGGAAAAGCTAAGACAATGATCCTCTAATTAAAAATAGGTAAACCTTAGTAAATATGTGTTTTCCTCTCACTTTTAAATTCTAAATCCACCTTGTGTATGAACCCTAGATCCTTACTACTTCTAGTCTTGGCAACAAGCAATGAAGTAACGGCACTGAACAGTCACACTACTAAAGGCTGCTGTTAGACACTGTTAAGGAAGGCTCTCTTGGGGAGTGTACATAATTCCAGGTAGTCCAACACACTACACAGAAGCTCAACAGTCAATCACAAATTAAATAATCAATTTAAGGGAGTGTTTAAGTGAAGTACAGAACGAGGAAAGACACTGAGCCTCAAAAATACTTGGAATGGATGGTTCAGTATGAAACGGAAAATTCAAATCCTTTTTTTGCAACATGACATCCAAGTTAGATAATAGATTTGTCATTAGGAACACAGAAAGTACCTGTATTCATGCATCTGCTCAGTTTGCCAGGTGGGTAGATTTTATAGACTATCCAAATAAAATGCTGATAGTCAGTACTCTCTTGTAAGGAGTTCCCTAAGTATATCCAGTCTTACACTAAACGTTGTTGTCAAGTGTAGTCGAGTCATTTCCAACTCATAGTGAGCCATTCTAAAGTTTCCAAGGAGCAGCTGGTGAGTTTGAACTACTGACCCTGCAATGCAAACCGACCTTGCAGTCCAGCGCATTATCCTACAGCACTACCAGGATGTAAATGGAAATCACTGATCTAAGTACTCAGTAGCATGTAGTGCAATCTGTCCTCAAGGATCCATTTGTCTCGCTTTCCCTTTCTAAAAGGTGAACACTTTGCATAATCTCATGTTGGTTTTTTTCCATTGCATTTTTGAATTAATGGATGAAAAGTCCAGACTTCATATCTGCACACTGAGGATCATGTCATTCCTCTGTTTAAATCCAAACTCCCCATTACAGATTACAGGTCTGCATGGTCTGACCTTGCCTGCCTCTCCCCCTTTGTCCATGATTCACAGGCCACACCTGCCTTCTTTCAGTCCAAGCACACACCAAACTCTTCCCTGCTCAGAGCTTTCCTGCTACATCCTTTCCTCTGCCGCACACAGGATTGTCACCTTCTCCTCCACACCCCTCTTCAGGTCTCACATAAACTTTATCTTTTCAAAAGGCCAGACCACCCTACTTGGTCATTCCAGGCTCTCATTCATTTCCTTCATAGCCCTTTTCACAATTTATTTATTACGAACTTGTTTCCATACTTGCTCTGCCCCACTCCCCCTATTGCACCCAAGTTCCCTGTAGGGTCTAGCATAGAATAGGTGATCAGGAAACATAAGAACTGAATGAAGAATAAAAGTACATTCTTTGAAGCAGAAAGACAGGTAAAGATTATACAGTGTGTATATTTACATCTATAGAGCATTAACATAGTCCTTATGTATATACTTAGTCTGCCATAGTCCTAAATTCTTTATAGGAAGTTATTGTAGGAGGTATAGCATCTCATATATTCTTGACTAAAAACCAGTTCTCCAATAGAGAGGTGATACTTTCTAACCAAATGTACAGCCAAACCCACGCTGGAGAGTCAACAGCCAGACTGCTGTCATATCTAGGGTTATTTACACCACTCTCCTCTGCTACGTTATTGTGTCTGCAGGTAGAGAGGCTCCTCAGAAACTAGAATACTGTTAAGTGTCCAATAAATGAAATAAAAATAATCCAAACACTCTTAACAAACAAGGATGTAGCCTTAATAACAATGGAAAAAGTTTCTCAGTAACCTTTGAAGTGTACGATTTTTTCCGTTTTGAGCCAGCTTTTTCATTCTTTCTTTTGCCTTTTCCATCTTCTTCTACTCTATCGCCTTCTTCTTCACTGCTTGCATCTGCAGTATTTCCTCCTTCTCCCTCAGTTTCTGAGGAACTCTGCTGTTGAATTGCCTTAGAAATAATAAAATGTTCATTAATCACATTTTTGAAAGAACAGAAACTCTAAAAAGAATCACTTTTTAAAACCTGTTTTTGCTGCTGTTGTTCATAATATACGGAGCAATCAGGACTGACTGTGAGGGTTGGAAATGTGAAGGTGGACATTTTGTAACAAAAGGAGGGGAGTGGTTGACTTTGCAGTCCAGGAGCGGAAGTCCCTGGGACCATCAAGGGAGAAGAGCGGAGTGTGGGATCCTACCTAGAGAAACAGTGATGCCAGATGTGGAGGCAGAGACGATGACATGGAGACATGGAGCAGCTGGGGACCCTGGACTCAGGGAGGGAAAGGGGCTGTGTGCTGATGGCCGGGGGGTGGCAGGCTTGTGGGGTGTACTCTTTGGCTTTGGTTGTTTGAATGGTAATATATTCCTGAGAGCCTCAGTATAAACACCCACCTGCCCGCAAAAAAAAGAGGGAATGGAAGCAAATGCTATTGAATGATCATGCATGGAGGGATTGTAATCATTGCAATGAAATGAAATACAATAGGATGAATGTAAAGCTGATGTTCTCCCATGTAAACTAGCACTCAATTCACAGTAAAAAAAAAAAAAGAAGAAGAAGAAGAAGAAGATACAGAACAAAACAGCCCAAGTTCACATTTTCTCCCTGTACAATTTAGGGGCACTTATGTGGTTACGAATCGGGCTGTGAACCTTAAGGTCAGCGGTTTGAAACTACCAGCTGCTCTGTGGGAGAAAGATGAGGCTTTCTACTCCCGTAAAGATTTACACCCTCGGAAACCCTATACAGGGTCGCTATGGGTCGGAACCGACTTGATGGCACATAACAACAACAACAATCACAATCTCAGAGTTGGACCACCATTCTTACCCTCCTTCTCTGAGGTGTTCCTTCCTCATTAACAGCAACTCCCTGGTCCCTAAAGTTCCTATCTCATCTTCTGAGGTGTTGCTGTTGTTGTTGTTAAGCGCCGTCTAATTGGTTCCGACTCATAGCGACCCTATCTAGGATTTCCATGGTGTTTGGTGGGTTGGAACCACCAACCTTGTGATTACCAGCCCAGTGCTGATCCTACAATGCCTCACCAGGACTATTATGGCTTAGTTATTGTTGCCAAGTGCCATCCAGTTGGTTCTGACTCATAGCAACCCTGCATAAGTTGGATTTGAACCATCAACCTTGAAGTTCAAAAAGACTTGTTAGTCCATACTGACCTTGTGGTCCAGTGATTGTCCCACAGAACCATACCAGGCCCTATCTTTTGAGTGGCTGGTGTCAATCTGATTCCATCTATATACACCAAAGCATGAGCCCATTCAACATTTTCTATTTGTCTGAGTATAACCCAGGGGCACTGATTAAAGTTCTCGAGTTGTACAGTCATTCTCACCCTCCTGAGTGGTCCCTCTCACATTACCAACACCCATGACCACCCGAAGATTCTGATCTGCATTTCCAGTTGCTGTCATCAACGTGATCCCATAGTGATAGTTCTTAAAAAAGCATAGCACTCAAGGCAGACGTTTTTTAAAATTTAGTTAAGTGTTGTTTAGTTTCGGGGAGCCCATTGGCTCCATTAGATAAGCACTGGACTGCAAACCACAAGGTCGACGGTTTGAGTCCACCAGCTGCTTACATGAGAGAGAGCTAAGGCTTTCTGCTCCTGCAAAGATTTAAAGCCTTGGAAACCCTAAGCATTGAATTTAACAACAACATGTTTAGTTTTAAGAAGACTTTAGGGGATATTTTTGCTTTAAGGTCTAAAGATTATTTCAGGGCAACAGTTTCAAGGGTTAATCCATCCTCCAAGGCTTCAGAAAAGGAGCTCTGGTAGCACAGTGGTTATGAATTAGGCTGCTAATCTCAAGATCAGCAGTTCTAAACTACCAGCTGTTCTGTGGGAGAAAGATGAGGCTTTCTACTCCCATAAAGATTTACAGTCTCAGAAACCCTATGCAGGGTCACTATGAGTCAGAACCGACTCCACAGCACACTACCACCACCACCACCACCATGGCTTAAGAAAGTTTGCTATTGTTGTTAAAGTGCCATCGAGTCGGTACCGACCCTATGCACAGTAGGATGAAACACTGCCTGATCCTGGGCCAACCTCACCATTGTTGCCCCACTTGAGTCCATCAATGCTGCCACTTGGCCAATTCATATCGTTGGAGGTCTTCCTCTTTTTCTCTGACCTTCCACTTTACCAAACATGATATCCTTCTCCAGCAACTGGTCCTGCCTGACAATATGTCCGAAGTATGAGAGACAAAGTTTGGCCATCCTGGCCTCCAAGGAGCACTCTGGCTACACTTTTTCCAACACGAATCTGTTGGTTCTTTTGGCAGCCCATGGCACTTTCAATATTCTCCTCCACACCATAACTCAAATGTGTCAATTCTTCTATGGTCTTCCTTATTTGCTGTCCAGCTTTTGCATCCATATGAGGTTATTGAAAATACCATGGCTTGGGTCAGGCGCACCTTAGTCCTCAAGCTGACATCTTTGCTCTTCAATATTTTAAAAAGGTCTTGTGCAGCAGATTTACCTAATGCAATATGTCATTTGATTTCTTCACTGCTGCTTCCATGAGTGTTGATAGTTGATCCAAGAAGAACGAAGTCCTTGACAACTTCAATCTTTTCTCCGTTGATAAAAATGTTGTTTACTGGTCCAGTGGTGAGGATTTTTGTTTTCTTTACATTGAGATGTAATCCATACCGAAGGCTGTGGTCTTTGATCTTCATCAGTAAATATTTTAAGTCCTTTTCACTTTCAGCAAACAAGGTTGTATCATCTGCACATCACAAGTTGTTAATGAGCCTTCCTCCAATCCTGATGTCACGTTTTTCTTCATAGAACCCAGCTTCTGGGATTATTTGCTCAGCGTACAGGCTGAATAAGTATGGTGAAGGAATATAACCCTGTCGCACACCTTTCTTAATTTTAAACCATTCAGTGTTCCCATGTTCTGTTTGAATAACTGCCTCTTGGTCCAGGTACAGATTCTGCATTAGTACAATTAAGTGTTCCGGAATACTCATACTTCGCAATGTTGTCCATAGCTTGTCGTGATCCACACAATCGAAAGCCTTTGCGTAGTCAATAAAGCACAGGTAAACATTTTTCTGGTATTCTCTGCTTTCAGCCAAGATCCATCGGATATCAGCAATGATATCCCTCATTCCACAGCGTCTTCTGAATCTGGCTTAAACCTCTGGAAGTTCTCTGTCAGTGTATGCTTGCAGCTGTTTCTGTATTACCTTTAGTAAAACTTTACTCGCATGGGATATCAATGAGATTGTCTGATGATTTCCGTTGGGTCACCTCTCTTTGATCTTTTCCAATCAGTCAGCCAGATACTTGTCTTCCAAATTTCTTGGCAGAGATGAGTGAGTGCCTCCTGTGCCACCTCACTTTCTTGAAAGATTTCAATTTTTATTCCATCAATTCCTGGTGCCTTGTTCTTTGCCAATTCCTTTAATACACCTTGGACTTCCTCCTTCAGTATCAATGGCTTTGATCATATGCTACTTCTTGAAATGGTTGAACATAAACCATTTCCTTGTGGTACAGTGACTGTGTATTCTTTCCACATCTTCTCTTGATGCTTTCTATATCATTCAATAATTTGTCCAGAGACTCTTCAAATAATCAGAGACGAGGCTGGAATTTTTTCTTCAGTTTCCCAGCTTGAGGAATGCTGAGCATGTTCTTCCTTTTGGGTTTTCTGACTCCAGATCTTTGCACATTTTGTTGTAATATTTGGCTTTATCTTCTCGAGCTGAGCTTTGAAATTTTCTGTTCAGCTCTTGGACCTCCTCATTTCTTCCATTTGCTTTAGCATCTTTACGCTGGAGAGCAAGTTTCAGTGTCTCTTCTGACATCCATTTTGACCTTTTCCTTCTTTCATGTCTTCTTAATGACCTTTCGCTTTCTTCAAGTATGATGTTCCTGATGTCATCCCATAACTCTTCTGATCTTCGGTGTTTAGTGTTTAATGTATCTTAAGATGATCTCTAAATTCAGGTGGGATATATTCAAGGTCCTATTTTGGCTCTCATGGACTTGTTTTCATTTTCTTCAGCTTCAGTTTGAATTTGCATATGAGCAGTTGATGGTCTGTTCCAGTCTGCCCCTGGCCTTGTTTTGACTGACGATATGGAGCTTTTCCGTCATTTCTTTCCCCAGATGTAGTCAATTTGATTTCTATGTATTCCATCTGGCGAGGTTCATGTGCACAGTCATCTCTTATGCTATCTAAAGAAGGTATGTGAAATGAACAAATCATTGATTTTTCAGAATTCTATCATGTGATCTCCAGCATCATTTCTATCACCAAGGCCATATTTTCCAACAGAAAGTTTAGTCTATGAGAATTTGAAATTCTTTTCTGTATTTTTCTCTTGTTTGATCAAGTTCTTCTACAGACTCCGTGTTCAAAAAGTTGAGTAATGGCAGCCAGTTCTTCTGGTTTCATGGCAAATGAAGTAGTAGTTCACGGAAGCAATGAAGGCACAAACTGCATTTCTTTCTCCTATTCCTTACTCTACTTCCTTGTTCTCCAGGCAAACAGAGACCAATTGTTATGCCTTGCTTGGATGGCTGCTGGCAAGCTTTTAAGACTCCAGGCATTATGCAAATGAACTAGAAGGTAGAACAGAAGTACTAAAAACATCATTTCACCAATTAGTTGGGATGGCTCATAAAATCAAGACACTAAAATTAAGGAGCCAAATCCTATGAGGTTTTTGCTGTACATAAATAGTCTCAGCAGCTATTATTATTTTGAAACATTTATCATACAACTTTTGCCAATTAAACTTCTTACAGCTGTACAGCTGATTCACAGCAATTATAATAATAAGTTGTACAACTCTAGCTTTAATCAATGTGATTTTTCCATCACTGTTAAGTCCCCTTCTACCCCTCCCACCGTCCCTGGTAACCACTAACAAACATTGGTCTTTATACAAATTTTGTTTTTTTCTAGTTTACAAACTCTTCAGTGACTTCGGCAGGATTAAAACCCGCAGTCTTCTGACCCGAAGTCAGACACCTTATTCATTAGGCCAGGTGGCTGTTGGATAAAATTCTAACTAGTCTTTTTAGACAAGTCATATAATATTTGTCCTTTTGTGACCAGCTTAATCCACTGCACAATGTCTTCAAGCTTCATTAATACTGTATCATGTATTCAGATTACATTTCTCCTACAACTCAGTAGTATACCATTCTATGTATGCACCATCTTTTATTTATCTGTTCATCTGCTGATGCACATTTAGGTTGTTTCCACATAGCATTGTGAATAATGTTGTAATGAAACATTGGTGTACAAGTCTCTTTATGAGTCTGTGCTGTCAAGTCTTTGGGGTATATACTTAGGAGTTGATTTCCTGGATATGGTAGTTCTATTTTCAGTGTTTTGAGGAAACACTATACTGGTTCTACAATGGTTGTTAAGTACCATTTTGCATTACCAACAGCAATGGACAAGGGTTCCAACTTCTCTACATCCTCAGCAACATTTGTTACTTTATTTCTTCTTTTTAATATTAGCCATCCTAGTGGAAATGTAATAATATATTATTGTGGTTTTAATTTGCATTTCTCTGATAATTAATGATGCTGAGCATCTTTTCATGTGTTTGCTGGCCAGATAAATACTCTCTTGGATGAAATGTCTATCCAAGCCTGTTGCCCATTTTATGACTGGGTTGTCTAGCTTTTTATAAAATTGTCAAAGCTGTACATATATTTTAGTTATTAGAGTCTTGTTGAATATATGGTTTCTTGTCTGTAGCTTATCTTACACATTTTTGTCTTTTGACGAAAAAAATTTTAAAAAAATTTTAAGGTTCCACCTATTTTGCCTTTTGCTGTTTATGCTTTTGTTTTATATTAGATAGATTACCCGTTGTTGGAAGTTAGGCCTGATCATGTTACAACTGCTTATTCTAAAAATTATATGGTCTGAGTTTGTTTTTGTGGATGGTATAAATCATGGACACTGTTTCCGTTTTCAGGCAGAAATTCAATTTTCCCAGGGCAATTTATTTAAGAGATGTTTCTTTCCCTATCAAATGCATTTAGTACCCTGTCAAAGATGAGTTGACTACAAAAATGTGGACTTATTTCTGGTGGTGGTGGTATGCCATGTAGTTGGCTCCAACTCATAGGGTTTCCAAGGTTATAAATCTTTATGGGAGCAGAAAGCCTCAGCTTTCTCCTGCAGAACTGCGCCAGTAGTTTCAAACTGATGACCTTGAGGTTAGCAGCCTGACTCATAACCACCATGCAACCAGAGTTCCTTGGACTTAATTCTAGGTTCTTAATTTTATGTGTCTATTGTTATACCAGAATTAGGCTCTTTTGATAACTATAGTTGCATGTTTTAAAATTGGTAAGTGTGGGTCATCCTACTTTTGTCTTCAACATTGTTTTAGCTATTTGGGGCCTAATGCCATTCCATAAGAAGTCAAAGATAGAGCCATTGAAATTTTTATCAGTTTTATGTCAAATTGTTTTGTGTAGTATTCACACCTTACCAATATTAAGTCTTCTAATCTATGAACATGGAACATATTTTTCAATTCTTTAAGTCTTCTTTAATCTCTTTCAGCAGTGTTTTATAGCTTTCCTGGTATAAGTCCTTTATATCCCTAGTTAGATTGAGTCCTATGTATTTTATTCTCTTAGATGAAGTTATAAATGGAATTGTTTGCCTACTTTCCCTTTTAGATTTCTCATTGCTGGGGTATAAAACCCAACTGATTTTTGTAGCTGACCTGCTACTTTGCTAAATTTCTCTGGAAGTTTTCTTGTGGACATTTTTGGATTTTGTCTATACAAGATTATATTATCTACAGAGGAGTCCTAGTATGGCACCTGGGCTAATGCGCTGGGGACTGAAAAGTCAGTTTGAACCACAAGATCAGTGGTTCAAGCTCACCAGCCACTTCTTGGAAATCCTATATAGGGCTGCTATGGGTTGGAACCGACTTGACGATACTTGACAATGACAATAACAGAGATAACTTTTCTTTTTTTGCAACTTGGAAACCTTTATTTCTTTTTCTTGTCTTATTGTTCTGGCTAGGAATTCTAATACGATAATGAATAGGTGCTGAGAAAAGTGCCCTTCATTTGAGGAATCACTCACAATCTTAACATTTCCAAATAAATGTATGGCAACCTCAATTTTTCAGTGACCACTTGAACTGTTTATACTTAATCCAAACTATTGCTGGAGCCAAAAAGCATTCTGACTTCAAACGGATGGTGACTGAAGCATTTATAAGGTGTAGTGAGTGATAACAAAGGAACCTTACCTGGTATCCAGTAAACTTTACGCCTGGGTTATTTTCGATTTCCCACAATCCTTCATTAAATCCTTTCCGTTTGTTTGACTTTCCAAACTTGTCTTTGTATTCCTTATATGGGAAAAGGTCTTTGGGACCTAGAAATGCACTGCAGAGATATATTAGAAATACAACTGACACTATGGCTTTCACATGTAAGACAGTTTACACACCAGTATCAACTAAGGGGTCATAACGTATTTCATTATACAAATGTAAAATATGCACACATTTTCAGAATTAGGAACATATCATGAGGTGTTTTAAATATACACTTAAAGGCAGGAAACCGAGATAGCTGGGTATACAAGTCACAACTCTGTCTTGTACTACATTTTTAGTTTTAAATGACTAGTTTCCTCTTTGTTTTAAAGTTGATTTTTAATTATACAAGTAATATTAAATGAATCTACTTTTACCACTTAAATCACCCTAACTAAGACTTTTTTATGTGAGTCTTACCAAAGGGTAATATACCCTATAAATGAAAAATAATCATGTTTAATGAGGCATTAAGCAAATAATAAAAAAAATAGAAGTGGCAAGGTAAAATCAATCACACCCAGTGGAAATCTTACTCTAAAGTAATCATAACTATGAAAAGACCTGAGATATTTGGCAATATGAAATGGCTGACACAGAGCTGAATTAACACTCTATTTTGTTACAAACTCCTGCTTTGACCTTCTTGAAAATGTAACCGTGACTTCTTCCCATTTATATGGGTTTTGGCCTTTGGCTAGGTGGAACCAGAGGACCATGGTCCCCTATCAGTCATATTGCTTAACTGGCCTGGCTCTTGCCCACCCAATGTCAAGCTTAGTATATAAAAAAGGATGGAGAGGGAGGGTCCAGAAGGTGATTTAACCACTTGTGGTGAATGAGGGTAGGGTCAGGAATGTGACTGTAGGAGAAGGAGCTTACTCAGGAAGTCCCAGGAAGTGCTGGTAACGTGCTCATGTGACTATCACACGCTCTCTTTCCTCATCTTTACTGTGAAAAAGCACACCTCTCCATCAATGCTTTGAAGCACTTGGTAGAGTCTTCTCTGCCTTGTGTTTCTCCAGTTCACAAATTGTGTTACTCTCAAGAAATCTCTTTACTTTTACTCTATCAGAGTAAGTATTCTTATTCTTCGATAAATTAAATCCTGGGGTCTATGAATAGATCTGAGCAGTCAAGTTAAAGTGTCATCACATCATTACCTAAGGTATTAACTGACCCTTTGGAAAATTACATTACAAACTGTTGTTGTTGTCAGGTGCCATCAAGTTGGAACCGAATCATAGCGACCCCATGCACAGCAGAACGAAACAATGTCCGATCCTGGGCCAACCTCACTACCGCTGCCACACCTGTGTCCATCAATGATGCCACCTGGCAGATCCATCTCATTGGGGGTCTTCCTCTTTTTCTCCGACCCTCCATCTTACCAAGCATTATATCCTTCTCCAGTGACTGTTCCCTCCTGACAATATGTCCAAAGTATGAGAGACGAAGTTTAGCCATCTTGGCCTCCAAGGAGCACTCTGGCTGCACTTCTTCCAAAACAGATCTATTGGTTCTTTTGACAGCCCATGGCACTTTCAGTATTCTCCTCCAACACCACAATTCAAAGGCATCAATTCTACGATCTTCCTTATTCACTGTCCAGCTTTCCCATCCATATGAGGTTATTGAAAATACCATGGCTTGGGTCAGGCGCATCTTAGTCCTCAAAAGCTAACATCTCTGCTCTTCAACACTTTCCTGTGCAGCAGATTTGCCTAATGCAATACGTCATCTGATCTCTTGACTGCTGCTTCCGCAAATGTTGATAGTTGATCCAAGAATAATGAAGTCCTTGACAACTTCAATCTTTTCCCAGTTGATAAGAATGTTGTTGACTGGTCCAGTGGTGAGGACTTTTGTTTTCTTTACATTGAGATGCAATCCATACCAAAGACTGTGCTCTTTGATCTTCATCAGTAAGTATTTTAAGTCCTCTTCACTTTCAGCAAGCAAGGTTGTGAGTAAGATAAGAGGTCTTTAAAGGTATTGAGAAGTGACAATTTATATTTTAGGAGGTAATTTTAGAGTTCAGGGACCATGTCTAAGCTGGAGATATGATTTAATTATCAGTAAAGATGATTATTTGAAGCTTTGACACCACAGGTTAATAGTTTATTGCTCATACATGTAAAACCCATTTCATGACTAAGTTTCAATACTGATCCTTTACACTGCTCAGCTGATCAAAAAATTTCAAGTTCATAAAGTCTGAGGGTGCTTTCTGACTCCAGAGCTGTTTAAGAATCACTAAACCGTCCCTACTTATTCACCTTTAACTGCTCAGTCAGTATGATTCCATCTCATTGAGTCAAGAAATAGTTTATTAGATTACTAGCCATTTTAGTTAAAAAAACATGTCAGTGTCTTGCTTGACAAACTGAACAAGAGAAAGAAATTCATTTTGGGTATGGCTATTTCACTGTTAGAGAAATCTGTCATGAATCAACATCAGACTTGGGCTTTTGACCTTTCCCCAGCCTTTGAATCTATGCACAGGAATTGACTGTGCGCTAGGCTGCCTGAGGTTCACATAGACTGCGAGCTGGGGAGAACAACTAGAGCCTTAGTTTAATGGTGCTCTAAGATTTAGGAGCTCTGGTAGCGTAGTGGTTACGAATCGGGCTGCGAACCTTAAGGTCAGCAGTTTGAAACTACCAGCTGCTCCGCGGGAGAAAGATGAGGCTTTCTACTCCCGTAAAGATTTACACCCTCGGAAACTCTATACAGGGTCGCTATGGGTCGGAACCGACTCGATGGCACATAACAACAACAACAAAGATTCAGGGTTAATGCTTATAATTTTTTGATGAAAGAGTCATTTTTGTACTTCCTTATTTTTATCTTATTTCTTAATACAATCTTGAGGTATATGAGATGCATGCCCTCCTGCTACAAAGGAAAGAAAGCATTCTCTTATGAACAAATGGTAGGCTTTTACTATCATTCCTCAGGTATAACATTTATGGATCACGGTAACTGTCACCAGAAAAAAGGACCATGAATGCACTATTCTAAAACAAGTCCTTTTTGAAAGACTATTGTTTTTCACTGAATTACAACTGCATATATTAAATCAATTTTCAATGGGTTACTTTGCTGTACATTTTACAACACTTAAAGGGTAGGCTAGCAATAAAATTGTTCAAAGTACATGTTCCAAGGATATTTTTTTTCTTGGCCAAGACAGTCTTGAAAATGGCTCAGATTAAAACTGCTGGTGTTCTGTGATGTGGAGCAGAACTTGGGGTCTCAACACTCACCTGTGTGGTCATTAGAACACAGTCATGGTCATGCAGTTTTGGTCTTGGTTTTCATGTTTTGAGGAGAATCTTGGCCCTACATGAAAGCAGTCTTTTGGCTGATTTGCATGCTGTTGTTGTTGTTAAGTGCCGTCGAGTCGGTTCTGACTCACAGTAGCCACACAGTGTTTCCAAGAGCAGTTGGTGGGTTTGAACCATCAACCGTGCAGTTAGCACTTCAGTACTTATCCTGCTCCACCACATCAGGTTGACTTTTATGTACAGCTAATATAGCCTTTTGTTAAGTTCATCACCTTTCACAGACCTTTGGGTATTTGTTTCTTTTATTTCCTTTAATTATTTTCAATTCATTCAACAAATATTTTCTAAACACCTCTCACGGGGCAGGTACTGTGTCTACTGAATTATGTAACAATGATCCCTGGTGTCACAGAGGGTAGAACATTAGGTACTGGCCATGATATAATCACAGGTTTAAGGACACCCAGTACCTAGCAAAAGTTCCCCCAAAGCGATATGAAATGGCAGGCTGATTGAAGTTCCTTCATTCTCCTCCATATATTTATTTAAAAGTCGATATAAATCTAGATGGTAAAACCAGCAAAAGCTCATAGACATGACATTTTACGGGTATTTCATAAAATTGTTTTTACTGAGTTAAGTCTTAAAATGATGTCACTGGCTTATATTAAGGATATTATAAGAAAGAGCTCTGTGAAAGCCTTCACATTTTTCAGTGAAATGATTCTGCTATACTCACTAGCAACACACCATGTGACAAGCTCTTTAGGGGCTTTATATATATACATATAAATTTCCAGTGCCTTGTAGAATATGTAGAAAATCAAGGTTTACTAAATGAATTAAAGAAACCATGTGGCAAATGGTAGATCTTGGTGTTTATAGTATAAATGTGATACTTCATTTATTAAAACCTGCCTTGTCCCAGAAATAGAATCAGGTCACTCAGAAATAGATCCTAAAGGAAAACAATGGTATGGACATAAAATGGAGACAAGAATAAAGCAAATACAAAAATATACTTATTAGAGGTAAACTGTTTCATTCTAAGCTTTCTAGAAACCTTTCTAAGAAGGGAAATGTGATCAATGTGATTAGTTGCCTAATTCACAGTATCTATTAGATTAAAAACAAAAGACTACTTGCCTGAAAGAAACATTTCTTTTTTTTTTCTACCGTATCAAAAGATGGGCCATCTCTTGGCTAGTTCTTTCCAGACAAGAATGAAAAAGATGGCAAAATGACACAGATAAGAAAGAGTTCACACCTGGCTACATCAGTAAGTCAAATGAACAGAAAGTGACCTGGAATTTGGAAACTTATAAGATGTAATGACAATTTTTAGCTTTTCTCCACATTTGCAATTTCTATTCTGTTTTCTGTACTGTAAATAACCATAGTGTGTCAGAGATTGCCAACTGTCCCCTATTACACATTCTTCTCTCCCTTTTATTAATGGTTACTCCTCCCAATATTTTTTAAGCAGGATACACACGTGCCAGGATAGAAGACAATGTTTCCCAGATTCCCTTATATCTAGAAGCGGCCACATGACCACGTTCTTATCACACAAATACAAGAAGAAGTAATATATACAACTTCCTTGTAATTTCCTTTAAAAGACGTTTGTGCATCATCTTTTCTCTTTCTCTTTTCCTGTGGTTGGAAGATGGGCATACATGCTGCTGTGTCCTTTTTTTAATATACAGAAAAGTAGAATACTCAAGGGATTGTTGTTGTTGTTAAGTGCCATTGAGTCGGTTCCAACTCATAGCAACTCTGTATAGTGTTTCCAAGGAGCAGCTGGTGAGTTTGAACCACCAACCTTGAGGTTCAAACCGACCTTATGGTTGAGTGCTTATCCTACAGCACCACACCAGGACTCAAGGGATGGTGGGACAAAAAGACGAAAGTAACCTGAGTCCCTCAGGTAAAGAAGTTTACCACTCAGCTCTACAGGCTTACTTCTGAATTGTTTCAAAAGAAAGAAATAAAATTCTGTAGTATTTGAGGTACTGTATTTTCAAATTTCTTCATTATAGAAGTTTCAGTCTGTACACTAACCAATATGGTTAGATCTTTAAAACATGTATGTTTGCTTCAGAGTTCAACAAGCTGAAATAGCCCGAGAGAACAAAATTTGTTCTAAGAAATACGAAGGGAATATATATCTTAACAAGGGAAATACATGAGAGTTACAAAAGAAATTACTGGGAGTGGTAAGGGAACCACCCTGGGGCTTAAAAGAGTACTAGAAGGTAACTGCTGGAGAATAGTCAGTATTTTAAATAAAGTGAAAATGACATTCAAATTTTAAAATATCTCCTTTCAGTTATTAAGACTTCTATGATGCACATCTACATTAAGAAAAATGTATTATCAAGCTTAGTAATTTTATATAATTGATTATACTATTTAAAAATATATGAAACATTATAGATCTTTCATATATAAGGTAGTTTAGCAGAGCGAATGAGAGTTTTGTTGACTTACGTTTCATGGGTACCAAAAAAGAAGATAGGGTACTTGTTTGCTGGAGGCTTTACAGCTCCTTCTGGGAGTTCATCAATCTATTAAAGACAAACTTAGTTATTATATATTCTGTAAAACCATATAAAATAAGCCCAATATAAACACTGCTCTGATAACTTATTGCTAATTTCAAAATAAAAATACTCTACTCAAAATCTTCAATTTTGTTTTCTTGAACGCTATAAAATGATTCTAAAGTTCCTATCTTGCTTACCACATAGACAGTAGTAACACTGTAAGTTAATGCTAACAGTTACGTCAATACAAAATCATACTCATATTTCCTTTGAAATCTGTCCTAGTAAAGCATTCAAGAAAAGATAAACAAAACGATGAACCTTTTTATTTTGGGGTGGGTGGGGGATAAAATCTAGTTATATGTATGGAGTTCTTGTGGGCACCACAGGATAAGCACTGGATTGCAAGGTCAGTTTGAACAGAGAGGTCAACGGTTCAAATTTACCAGTTACTCCTCAGAAACCCTATACAGGTTGCTATGAGTCAGAAATGACTTGTTGGCACTTAGCAACAATAGTTACACGTACATTTAAAAGACCTCAAGAATGCAAGATTAGCTCAACGTTAAAAATTCAATCAGTGAAATGTGCTACAATACTAGAATGAAGGAAAAAATGAATATTTAAATACAAAAACACATTTGACAAACTCTAATGTCCTTTCAATACAAAATCAGGAGTAAAAACTACTCATATTTCCTTTGACTAAATAGAATTATTCATGGAAATTTGTCGTAGTGAAATATTCAAGAAAAGATAAAAAAAAAAATGCACTTTGTGTGTGTGTGTGTAAAATCTAGTTTTATATATATATAGAGAGTCCTGGTGTGGCACTGCAAGGTTGGTGGTTCAAGCTCACCAGCTGCTCCTCAGAAACTCTATACAGGGTCACTATGAATCAGAACCAACTTAATGGCACTTAACAACAACAACAATGTCCTTTCATGGTTAAAAAACAAAACAAACCTCATACAACTAGGAACAGGAAGGAATTTACTCAATATGGTAAAGGCCATATACAAACAACCCAATCTTTTAAATGGGCCAACGACTTGAATATACATTTTCCTATAGAAGATATACAAATGACCTGCAAGTACATAAAAGAGGCTCAATTTCATTAATAAATAAAAAATCCAAATAAAAAATACAGTGAGACCACTAATAGTCACCTATTAGTATGACTATTATTAAACAAACAGAAAATTGCAAGCGTTGGAGAGGATGTGGAGAAACTGGCACCCTTACACAGTGATGATGGGAATGTAAAATGATGCAGCCACTGTGAAAGTAGTTTGGTGGTTCCTCAAAAAGTTAAAAACAGAATTAGTGTTATGTTGTTGGTTAAGTGCCATTGAGTTGGTTCCGAATGATAGCAACCCTGTATGGTGTTTCCCAGGAGCAAATGGTGAGCTTGAATTGCTGACCTGGCAGTTCAAACCAACCTTGCAGTCCAGCACATTAGTCCACAGAGCCATACCTGGACCTTAGAGTTACTACATGACCCAGCAATTTAAATATATACGTAAAAATAGAAAGCAGAAACTCAAATGGATACTTGTACACTAATGTTCACCAAAACCTTACTGACAATAATAAAATAGTGGCGATTACCCAAATACCCACCAACAGATAATTGGATAAACAAAATGTAGTGTGTGTGTGTGTGTGTGTGTGTATATATATATATAGTCAAATATATATATATATAGTCAAATATTCTTCAGAACCTTGAAGCCATTATGCTAAGTGAAATAAACTAGACACAAAAGGATAAGAGGTATCATAGACACAGATAGTAAATAGAGGTTACCAGGTCCTGGGGGAGAAAGGAGATGGAGAGTTATAGTATCTATTTGGGACAACGAAAACATTCTGGACATAGATAGGAGTAACAGTTGCTAAACAACAATGTAAATACATTTTGTGCTACTTAACTGTACCCTGAAAAATGGTTAAAGTGGTCAATTTTATGCTATGTATATTTTACTACAATAAAAAAAAAAAGAAAAAAACTAATGTAAAAGTTCAGAACTAGTAAGTAAAATAACTGAAAAGGAAAACTGACTGTGTGCAGCTTGGAGTTAGAAGAATGAATTAGTAAATTTGAAGACAATAGAAATTATCACCTTTGAAGAAGAGAGAGTAAAAGGACTGGAAAAATCTAAAGAGCCTCTTATGGAACAAAAATCAAACAACATAACCTACACAAGGGGGCTTCAAAAAGTTGGTGGAAAATTCCATGATCTCTTAATTCAATTTTTCTATGAACTTCTTGAAGCCCTCTCATATATAATAGGAGTCCTAGATGGAGAACAGAGTGAGAATGAGACAGAAAATATGAATAAACAATGGCTAAAATGTCTCCAAATTTGACTTCAAGTGCAAACATTTACTTAAGAGTGTGAGAAAAAGGCTCTGGGAATCGTGTCTCTTGAAGACGTCTGCAGGCCTTCTGGACTAACAGAGGGCCACTGTCCCAGTACAGCTCGTTTGCGTTAAAGAGAAAGACTTGGCAGTGCTGAGCAAAGATGCGCTCTGAGTCTTGGAACTTGGCTCTAATCAAAATATGGCATCAAAGATAACACTTTTATTAGGACCTTGACTTCCACATCTAAAAAATAAGAACTAATATTTCCTCTGAATTTTGGTTTCCTATCTTAATTATTGGAGTCCTGGTGTGTCACTGTGGGTTAATGCAACAGACTGCAAAGCCATTTGAACTACAAGGTCGGTGATTCAAGCTCACCTTGGAAACCGTATACAGGGTAGCTATGGGTCAGAACTGACTCAATGGCACTTAACAACAACAACTTGTTAATTATTAGCACAATCATTCATTCTGCTACCAAGTAAAAAACAAACCCAAAAAACACTTTATTATTATCTCCTCAAGCCCCACATTCAGTTGACCACTGAATACTGCCCATTTAGCCCCTGGAAAGTCTTTCAAGTTGATCGCTATTCCTATTAAATCAAGTTCCCATGGACTTTGGACAAGGCCACTAGAGCAACCTTTCAAAATACCTTTTTTTGCTTTTAGGCTTTCCTCTGTTACCAACTTATGTAATGTCTGCAAAAATTTAGATGGTGCTACATCTACTACTACTCCACAAATAACAAAAATAGGACATACAGTGGAAAAGCAGAGGTGATTTAAAAAATCATGGAGGCTTGCTGTGGCGCAGTAGGATAAGCACTGGGCTGCAAGGTCAGTTTGAACCACAAGGTCAGCAGTTCAAACCTACCAGCCACTCCTCAGAAACCCTACGCAGGGCTGCTATGAGTTGGAACCAACTCGACCGCAATTAACAACAGAACAACAACAAAAAAAACATCGTATCATGTAATTTTCACTTTTTTGAGAAAACAGGGAAGTTATTAAGAATTTTTTTTTTTTTAACTTTTCTTTCAAATGAAAACAAGACTTTTGGTCAAACTCTTCCTTTGTTTTAATGTTATGTAACTGAGATCTACTGCAGAGGTTTCAAACTGGTAGCCTCTGTGCCATTTCTAGTCTGAAAATATGTTTTTGTTTGCCTCATACAGTGTTTCAGAAAAAACTGAGTCAGCTGCCAACATTTAAAAACAGCAAGATGCACATTAAAATCAAGATTAGTGACTTGTGTGAAGGAATAGGACAATCGGGTAATCTAGCAACAATAGGCCTGTATACCACATGACTGTCTAGCTGAGGATGTGCTTTCCTTTAAAGAGCTAGTCCATTTAAGGGCTGAACCAAAGGATACAAAGAGTACCGTCTGTCACAGCAAAGAGAGTTTAGACTGTCTTCAGTTCTAAACCTAGTTTGAGTTTCTAACACTTGTATTAACAGAAGTTTTAGCTTTTCCTTTCCCATTCCCCCAGTGGGAATTCTTACCTGGCCCTCCTCCAGGGATATTTCTCTAACTGTATATAAAATTTTGTATAATTCATTTTAATGAGGGGGAAAGTCACTGTTTTATCAGATCATCCAAGCCCCAACTAAATGTAAATATATATTTTTAATGATTTAATCCTATTTGAATTAGCCAAATATCTTAACCAAGCTAGATATGTTCAAAACCAAGAGGAAAAAGATGGGGCCTTTGTGGTGGCTGTAGACTTGCTTAAATACAGAGAAAGCTCCAGTGATAGCGGTGCCTTTAGAAACAGTCCTTTAACTGGAGTATTAAGAAGAGCCCATGTTTTAAAGTTGGTTGATCTCAATTCACTTTCTAATTTGGCTTTTCTTTCTTTCTTTTTTCCAATTCAACTTTTTAAAGTTGAATTAAGGTATACAACTGGATTACAAGAATTACAACCTTACTATTAGTCAACATAATAATTCCATCATGACTAGCTCCCTTTCTCCCTCTCTCCTATCCCTGATAAATGCTAACGAACTTTTTTTGTCTATATATTCGCCTTTTCTTATCTATTATGTAAGTGAGGTCACAAAATATTTGTCCTTTTTTGTTGACTTATTTCACTTAGCATTAATATTTTCCAGCTCCATCCATGTTGTTGTTGTGTGTTGTTGAGTCAGTTCCCACTCATTGTGACCCTATGCCCAACAGAATGAAACACTGCTGGTCCTCCTGTTTGAGCCCAGTGTTACAGCCACTTTGTTAATCCATCTCATTGGGGTCTTCCTCCTCTTTTTTGCTGACTCTCTACTTTGCCAAGCAGGATGTCCTTTTCCAGGACCTGGTCCCTCCTTATTACATGTCCAAAGTATGTAAGACGGTGTCTTGCTATCCTTGTGTCCAAGGAGTATTTTGGCTGTACTTCTTTCAAGACATTTGTTCTTTTGGAAGTCCAAAGTACTTTCAATATTCTTTAACAATATAAATCAAATGCATCCATTTTTAAAATACTTTTTATTGTGAATTGAGTGAAGGTTTACAGATACCAGCTTTACATTCAACAAATCATATACTTTGCTGCATCTCAATGATTACAATCCCCTCCATGTGCTTCCTCCTTGTGCTTTCTCTTTGCATTCCACCCATGTTCCCATCCCTTCTCAACTACGTCCT